AGAGTGCTTGTGCACAGAGCTCGAAAACTAGCTCAGCAATACTATCTTGTTTACCAAGAACCCATTCCCACGGCTCAGCTGGTACAAAGAGTAGCTTCTGTGATGCAGGAATATACCCAGTCAGGGTAAGTTGCTTTTATTCCTTGAATTGTGCTGTGAATTGGGGGTGGGTGGGGGAGATCATTTTAAAAGAGTAATATACAAATACATGACAACATACTATTCCTTTCCTATATTTGCCTGATGAGTGGATGAAATCACTGTGATGTTTCTGATCTTAACTAGATCTAGAATATTTTCTTAAGAAAATATGTGAATGTTTTCTTCTTGCTCTTATAACAGCAGAAAGCAGCTTCCAGATATACAAAGTCCTTTTGCTAGTGATTAAAACACTTATGGATAGACAATTGTTGCTACTTCCAAATTTATCTTTCTAATGATAAAGGATTATAATCACATGATGAAAGCTGTAGGTCTTTGACATTTTTGTATTCACTTTGATTCCAATTTTCCTTTTTAGCTTTTTTTCCCTCCCTCTACTCTGAAGGGACCAGTTTCTTAAGTTTGGGTGTGGATGACATAGTGTAAAGGGGGCTGTTGATAAGTAAACCTCGTGGAAAAGCTGCATTAGTTGAAGGTTGTCAGTTTGTAAGGAAGGTAAACATTACTCCACACTTACCCCAAGGTTTTTGCATATCACTGTATCAAATCTCATGTTGTTTGACTACTCTTCCTCAGAATTCATTTTGAGTTATTTCATTCAGAAAAGTGTTAAATACTTTTTAAAGGAACTTACAAATCTAATTCTGTTTACCTGATGGTTTGCTTTACTTGAGAGTACTAATAAATTCTTACTTGAGGATGATTCTACTATGAGGATTCCCAGTAATTTCCATTTTCCTTTCTGTAGTGGTGTCCGTCCATTTGGAGTTTCTTTACTTATTTGTGGTTGGAATGAGGGACGACCATATTTATTTCAGTCAGATCCATCTGTAAGTATCATTAGATATATTTGAGGGATTTGTTAAAAATGTTCTTTCAATATCTAATAGAAATAGAAACTTATCAGAGGAAGGGTGGAGGAGGGAAGGGAAAAGCCATAAAAACTTTACAATTTAGGAATATTTTCTCATTTCCTTTTTCATTTGGGTTTTGGAGAATGTGCCCGTATTTGTTTGTGCATTTTAAATTTTGGTAATTCAGTCTTCTGACAAGGAAACTATGTTCTGTCCTCTGTTCTGTGTTCATGAACTTCACATAGCAGAATAAATTTGTTGAAATAATTTTTATAAAATCTCTTTAAATTCTGTTACTTTGGAAAATACTGCCATTAAAGATAGGGATCTGGAGAACAGTGTTGTCATCTTAGCCATCAGTTTAATTTGGGGGCAGACTTGAGTGTGCCTATTTTGAATTCAGTGTTTTGTGTAACTGGTAGGAGGCTGGTTAGTGGTCTCCTTTGGTCTTTTAAAATATGCTGGGTTGACATCACATGCACAAATAAGGCAGTCTTGATTTCTTGGTGTAAGTACCCTGTGCCCTCAGGGAAAATCAGGAGGTGGCCAGTTAAAGGAGACCAAGTTAAGAGGAATTGTCTGCTCTACCGCAGAAGATTGGTATCTGAATAGGTGTTCATAAAGGATAATATTACTCCACATCTGTCCCATTTGTTATGAGGAGAACCTCAAGAAAAAAAAAATCAAGATTAGGAAAGGAATGATCTTTCATAATTTATGGATTATTAGATAATTGCAAGTTCACTCAGTGCAAACTTTTGTAACCTAACCTTATAAGCTGAGATGGTGAAAGAAAAACAGTTCGGTTGTTTATTACTTAAATCATAAAAATTAGTATATTTTGGGAATTTTGTTAGTGTTGTTCCTCCCATCTGAGCTGAAGCTGAATGGTAAGATCCTACCCTCTTTTCCAACAGGAAGCAAAAACCACCATCTCTGGAATACTGGTTTCATCTTTTGCCCTATTTTTCCCTGTTGAATCTAAAAGGCAATTGTTTTACTTTAAAATATATTTAATATATTTCTTCTGATATTTTTCTGTGTGTATGTTTTTCAACAGATGAGGCAATATTATATATGACATACTACTATTGCTTTTATTTTACCTTAGATTATACAATATCAAATATGTGAATTTTTTTGTTTTTTGAAGCAGAGTCTCACTATGTTGCCCTCAGTAGAGTGTTGTGGTGTCACAGCTCACAGCAACCTCAAACTCTTGGGCGTAAGTGATTCTCTTGCCTCAGCCTCCCAAGTAGCTGAGACTACAGGCGCCTGCCACAACGCCCGCCTATTTTTTTGGTGCAGTTGTTCTTGTTATTTAGCTGGCCCAGGCTGGGTTCAAACCTGCCAGCCTCAGTGTACGTGGCTAGTGCCCTACCCACTGAGTTATGGGTACCTCCAATGTGAATATTTTTAATGAAAAGCTATCTCACTTTAATTTATTAGTTTATGTTCAAGAGTTGATCACCATTTTTTCAGTTTTATGTAAGATTTTTAGATGTATTACTCTTGATTATTTGCTTTTAGTTAACCTGTCTTTTAGCTGACTTGATAAACTCATCATCAATTTGATAAGGAAAATCACTACAATAAAGATACCAAATTTTTCTGTAACGTGCAAAAGTTTCTTCATGATTCTTTGTTTTCCAGTCCACTTACCTTAAGAAACAGACTATTGTGTGACATTTCTTACTTCATTCTAATAGTATTCTGTGACCTTAGAAGTTAGAAACTAAATATAGAGCTAAAAGGTAAACAGCAGGGCAGCATAATCCTATTCATGTTTTTTTCCTCTTCTTTTCTGATTAGGGAGCATACTTTGCCTGGAAAGCCACAGCAATGGGAAAGAACTACGTAAATGGGAAAACTTTCCTTGAGAAAAGGTAGGTTTGCTGTAACTAGATTCTTTAGCAGACTGACTTTATGTTCATGGGTTTTGGTGTTCTTTAAATAATACTGTGGGTTTAAAGAAATTTATTTTACTACATTGTACTTGTATCTCTAGATATAGAAAAAAGAAACAAAAGACCTCCCTCCATCCTGGTGTCCTAGCCTTCAGTATATTAAGTGGCAGTCTTACTCATTTCTTAAGGACGTCTCTTTCTTTGTGATTGTGGTTATTTCCTAAATGTTTTTGGTTTATTATTTCATTTTTCTTACCATTTTGGGGTAGAGTGTAAAATACTGACTATGGAGGGAAAAATTTGGGAACAAAAATTTTCAAATGATTTGATGATTTCAGTTTACGTTGTGACAATAAAAAAATTTGTGAAACCAAATACATGGTCTTGAAGGTAGGTTAAATATATGATACATATGCTTTTAATTTTTTAAATCGATACATATTAGAATAGTTATTCATGTTTATGGGGTACATGTGATATTTTGATACCTGATACAATGTGTAATGATCAAATCAGTGTGACAATGTGTAATGATCAAATCAGTGTGATTGGGATACCCGTCATCTCAAACATGTACAGGGTGGCTATAAAGTTTGTGTGCAATTTAAACCAGTTGTCTATTTTATAGACAACGTAAATCAGAAAAATTATATTTTGGGAACTTCAGTTAGTGTTGTTATTCCCATCTCTGAGCTTTTGAAGCCAATAGTTGTCTATTTTAAATTGCATATGAATTTTATGGCCACCCTGTATGTTTTCTTTGTTTGGGGAACATTAACTATTTTGACATTATTACCATTATCAACTGTAATTGCCTTGTGTCTTACTGTATTTTCATGCCCCTTAACCCCTTTTCTTCTTTCCTCCCAACCTCCTCCTCTTCCTGGCCTCTGTTAACCACCATTCTACTCTCTACCTTCATGAGACCCACTTTTTTAGCTCCCACATATGAGTGACAACATGTGATCTTTCTCCTTCTGTGCCTGGATTATTTCACAAAGTGACATAATGACCTTCAGTTCCTTCCATATTGCTGCAAATGATAAGATTTTATTCTTTTTTATGGATGAATAATATTTGAAAAATTTGTAACTTAGATGGATGCTGATAGTACATTTTTCTCATAATATTAAGGTTATTAAAAATCTTTGGCCTCAGATTAAGTACTAAACTTAAATTATATTAGGATCTTAAAGCATTTTCCTTTTTCTTTTACGTATTAATGAGTCTTTTCAAAGATTCCATACATTATAAGATGTTATGGACCAGGCATGGTGGCTCAGACTTATAATCCTTGTGCTGTTGGGAGGCTGAAGTGGGAGCATCACCTGAGATCAGGCATTCCAGACTAGCCTGGGGAACATAGCAAGACCTTGTCTCTATAAAAAATAATACTAAAGAAGAAACTTACCTGGGTGTGATGATGTGTGCATACAGTCCTAAGCTCATGGGAGGCTGAGGCAGGAGGAATATTTGAGCACAGGAGTTCCAGGTTGCAGTGAGTTATTGTACCACTATATTCCAGCTTGGGTGACAGAGACAGACTCTGCTTTAAAAAAAGAAAAGTTATGTTATAACTTAGAAGAACAAATGAGATTTTAGCGAAGTTTTTGTTTTTCTGCTTCATTCTTTTAAAATGCCATATTCTGACTATTTTGAAATATTTACTTATGCAGTTTCCTAAAATAAACTCATTTTAGGGTATATATACTCTTTTCATGATTTTTGGAAGTTGAGTACCAAATAATTGTCAGTTTCTTATTTGGGCACAGCCGTCTCAATGGGGTGACTAAAAGAATTAATATGTAATTTAGTATTTTTAGGGATGTTTCAGATTTCAAAAAAATCTTATTTTATTTATTTATTTATTTTGAGACAGAGCCTCAAGCTGTCCCCCAGGGTAGAGTGCTATGGCATCACAGCTCACAGCAACCTCTAACTCCTGGGCTCAAGTGAGTCTCCTGCCTCAGCCTCCCAAGTAGCTGGGAACACAGGCACCTGCTATAACGCCTGGCTATTTTTTGGTTGTAGCCATCATTGTTGTTTGGCGGGCCTGGGCTGGATTTGAACCAGCCACCTTAGGTGTATGTGGCTTGCGTCTTGGCCACTTGAGCCACAGCACAGAGCCTCAAAAAAATCTTATACTGTTGCTATCATATTTAAACACTCATAACGAATGTAAAGAATGTTATAGTCATTTTTTTTTCTTCTTCAGATATAATGAAGATCTGGAACTTGAAGATGCTATTCATACAGCTATCTTAACCCTAAAGGTTAGCTCAGTATTTTTAACAATTTGGTTTATAATGATTTTATAATGAACTGCTCGGGAAATTGACTTTTATTCCTCCCACCTTAATAGGAAAGCTTTGAAGGGCAAATGACAGAAGATAACATAGAAGTTGGAATCTGTAACGAAGCTGGATTTAGGAGGCTTACTCCAACTGAAGTTAAGGATTACTTGGCTGCCATAGCATAATAATGAAATGACTGAGCAATCCGGAATTTCAGATAATCTATCTACTTAAATATGTTTTGTTTTGCAGACTTTTTGCATACTTATTTCTACATGGTTTAAACCAACTGATGTTTTTAAAATGACACTTATAAATCATAATAAACCATTAAACACACCTTCTAGCCTTTAGGAATTAGTAAAATTTTAACAGTTATTTCCTGCTTTTTGTCACAGTTAATTTTTGGAACTACATTGCAAAGCTGAATGAAGAAATCACTTTTTAGTTTTCATGTAGTTTTGGTCAAGTCTTACTGCCCTCTTTACCACTGGATGCTGCCTGCGTTTCCATAAAGCAAACTGCTGATTCGGGTAAACATTACTGCTTTTATTGGTGGGAGAATCACAGGCTTTCATGGATTCATAAGATAAAATAGGAAGCATAGGTGTTTTTGGCACCATAGGTGTGGATCGGTGAAACCCCAGGGTGCTCAGCAAGATAGTGCTGGATTGTGAAGAGTACTATGCCACATATGATGTAAGTAAGTAAACAGTGGTTTGCTGGCTCCTGTCAGCTCCACCATTACAAGTAGGTAAATATATTTACAAAGAACCCTCTAGGTTGTACTAGACTTTTGTACCCAAGGAAATAAAATGCTGATACTTAAGTGTCAAAACTATGGCTTAATGCTCTCATTAATGTAATGTCAGTGTAATCAGAACCTTCACTGAGTAAGCTCCCTAGGAACAAGCAAATTACAAAGTGTAGGAACTCTCGTTTTATATGTGAAGGCATAGTACTTAGCTTTGTTTTTTATTTTTCTGGCCATTAATTAGTCTGGTTCACAGGATGTAGGGAGAGTTCTGGGCATAATCATTTTTACCAACATCAAGAGATCATAGGCAACTCCATGATTTAAATGCAGCTCAAAAGATTTGGTTAAGATTTAGCTAAGGGGAAAAGAGCTTTATTTTGTGAGGATTTCCAATTCTGTTACCTACCATCACTATAATATCTTATTTTGGTTTTAGATGACAAAAGCATTATAGGAGATGGGAGGGCAGCTTGACCCCTTGTTTCAAGGTTTTTGTCTTTAACCCTCACCTAAGTAATCTCCTAATTAAGGGCTCATCTTTGTATTGTGACTCTAGCACTCCGAAACATGAACATAGTAAAAAGAAAAGGTCTTTGAAGTCAGATCTCAACTTTCCCACTTACTGGCTGATTCACTATGCAATGTAATTATCTCAGAGGGTTTTCTAAGGCTAAATTTGATAGTGCAAGTGAAAGGCCTGGCATAGTTAATGGTTAAGTACTTTGTTAGCATCTGTTGATTTTACTTGGGTCTTTAATTTCTAGTAGTAAGAGACCACAGGAATGTCAGAATTCTACAAATCAAAGAAAGGAAAATGAAAGGGATATTATTTACACACAAAGAAAGTGCATGTAGGTTTTCACTGGGGTGATAACAGAATTGCTCCTACCGGGTAAAGGGAGGGAAAATTAGCTGAAACAGATTTGATCCTGGTTCTGTTTTCTGCTTCCTGCCCCCATTAACTGCAAAGCCTTGCTCCAACAGGAACTACAACACTTCTCCTTTTATTTTTAGGTTTTTTTCCTCAGAGGACTTGAAATTGAGCTGTTTTTTGTCCCAGTCTTGAGAAACATAGTTCTTGGATGTAACACCATTGCATCCCTGAGCATCCCAGGACTCCTGAATCATTGCTAGGCTCTGTATTCCAGCTTTTTATCTTAAGTATGTAATGTTTCTACGGTGTACAGCCCCTCCCTTCTTTTGGTTCAACTTGTACCTTCTCAGCCTTAGAAACTTTTGTTGCCACTTGTTCTGTCTTTGCTTTTTCCAGTTCTTTACTGAACCATGAACTTAAATTTGCAAAACAATTAGCAGTGAAACATGGAAATGTTTAAAATTCACATACATGAAAACAGAGGGAGTTGAAAAGGAAAGGTGAATAAGAAGACTAATTGAGTCTATAATTGAATGCTGATACGTTGGCATCAATTAGCTAATAAAGGAACATCAAAGGAATTTTCATCTCTTGCTCCGTTTTCATAGAATGAAACTGCCAACTCAATACGCACATAGCAGGTGTCTCCTTGCCAATGTAGGCAAGTCCTCTGTGCCCTTCATTGTAAAGAAGAGTAAACTGCTGTTCAATAAATTGCCTAAGAGCATAATAAGGACTTAGTAGTTCCCTTGAATTAGAATCCTAATTTTCTGAAAACCCATTCTGGGATCCTGTATTAATGTCACATTGCCTCACACATTTCCTTTAACTCAAGAGCTCTTCCCTCCATCTTGCTCAAGTTTATAAAACGAGCAGTACCTGACTGCTATGCAAGTACTAACTTCCTAAGCATGAACCTATTTTAACTACAGGAATACTTTGTCAAAGGCCATGTCCCTGAGATATACTTCCTGAAAGCCATCACTTTTACCTGTTCTGGGTATTCCATCAGGTACTTGCCTATTTCAAAATAGTAGGCTTTTATGGCCTTTCCTGGATTCTTGAAGTTTAGCCACAATACAGACTTTATGCTGTACAAAATGAGAATTTACAACTCTGGTTTTACTCTGACTCTTTCCCTGCCTCAATTTAATAAAATTGTATTTAGTTTGAGATTTTTCTTAATGATTATGTATGTATGCCATGATTACATTTCCTAAGTAACTTTCATGGGGTGATATTGCCTCACTTTTTTACTTTGTTCTGTGTGTAGCTGTCAAGAATGCTTGCCAGAGTCCCCCCAACAGAATAATAATACGCTCTGCATACTGTTTTCCTCATGGTCAGATGCCAGGTAATCTGCTCTCTCCCTCACACCTCTGAGAACTTTCTCTTTTTTAGAGTCCTCTATCTTCTCCAATCCAGGCTAGTTGCTTATTTAGAACCATCTTTTATTTTCCTCTCTTTTTCTTTCAGTTGGCTGGGCTTAAACATTTTAGGTTAGAAATAAATTACCTGCACATTTTGAAAGCCTTATTCCACTCCCTCCTAAATTCCATTGTTGCTGTTGGGAGACCTAATGCTAGTGTTAGAAATTCTTTGTTTACAACTTTTTCCCCTCTGCAGCTCTTAGGATTTTTTATCTGTAGCGTTCTGAATTTTACAGTGTTGTGCCTTTCTGTGGGTTTTTTAACATTCATTGTGCTGAGCCCTCAGTAGGCCCTTTTGCTGTAAAAACTAAAAAAAAATATTGAAACACTTTTCCATTTGGTAAATTTAATAATATGGATAATTAAATCTTTGTTTTCTTTTGTTTTTGTTTCTAAAAATTGTGTGTTGGGCACTTTTGGTTGTTTTAGCTCTGTTTTTCATCTCTTTAATTTTCTAGTAGTTTTTCCCAACTCTTCCATTGATTTCTATGAAATTTGGAATATCATGTTTACTTTTAGGAACTATTTCCTATATTCTTCCATCTTCCCTTAAAAAAACAACAAAAACCTCTTCTTTTTATAGGTGAGATATCTTTTTATATGAGAATGCTAAATATTAAAAACCATTTCATTCTGCTTTAAGTTTCCTACAAATCCTGAACAGAAAAATGTTTGAAAGTGGGTTTGTGAGCTTTACATTACCTTACGAGACTGAGTAATGTGTAAAAACACCTAGAACCCTGTCTGCCACATGGTAAGCATGGACTAAGTTACTGTTCTTATCCTTCAACAATGTGTTAATATAACTCGTCTCCAGTCATCTACTCTCTTGTGCTGTCTTTGTGGGTATATTTCCTTTATGTTTCTTTTACTGTCATTTAAGTAAGGTTTGGAGGAGTAAGATACACAGGATTAATTTTAACAGGGAATCCTCGTTAATATTTAAAAGTACCTTTACTTTCTCAAAGCCCTTATCTTTCTGGGCGACTCTGGAAACTCTAGTAGGCTAATATAAATACCCGACTCCCTCAGAAATCACCCAGACGTTTCTTCAGAAGGGCAGCATGTCTATAATGGGACACTTGCTATGGAGCGCCCAGGACGGTGCAGTGGAGGGTGCCATGGTGTGGAGTCATTAATCTCAGCTCCTGCACTGACTAGCTGTGTGACCTTTGACAAGCTTTTGCAGCATGTGTCCTCGGTTAAGCGCCTTGGTGATAACAAGTGGCCGGCGCCCGTGTGGGAGGGGGCGCAGCCCTGCGAGCACAGTTACAGCTCCTTTCCTGAACCTGGCGGGTGCGCGCTTCTAGACTCGCCCTGCAGCGCGAGAGGTAGAAGCCAAGTGCCCTCAACAATCATGGCCGCCGCTAGCGTCAAGCCCGCTCGGGAGACCGCGCTGCCGCCTGGGAATCGCCGGTCCGGCGTCACCCGTTCCGGAACCACGTGACGCGGGAGGCGCTCGAGGCGGCGTGGCTCGCCCGGGTGGAGCGGCCTCGGCGCGGGAGCCGGGAGGGTGCTGCCCGGGGGAGGTCTCCCGGCGGGTCTTGGCCTCTGCGTGCTCGCGCCCGCCTGCTCAGGCTCGCGGTCCTGGGCGCTGCCGGTGAGGAGCTGGGGAGTGAGGCGGGGAGCGGGGCGCCCCTTCCAAGGCCGGAGGGGGCTGGGCCAGGGCGGCCTGGCGGGGAGAGTTGGCCGCGCGTTTCCTCGCCTCGCCTCTGAGCCTCGGCGCCAGCAGTGGGGGCGCTTTGACCCGGACCCAGGTGTGCAGGTGAGGGGCAGGGCCCGAGGGGCCTGATGCCCAACCGAAGGCCCCGCCGACTTCTGGTCCTCCCGTGTCGCCACCGGCCGCCAGCGCTCTAGGACTCTGCACCGCCTGCCTGGCCGCCGCAGGGTGCAGCCTTGGAGTTCAGTTAATCTTCAGATTTTTCCTTCTAGTGGGAGGGTAGTTGGTGGTCTCCTTTGGTCTGTTAAAATATGCTGGTTTGACGTCAAATGCAGAAATGAGGCAGTCTTGATTTCCTGGCGTAAGTACCCTGTGCCCTCCGGGGAAATCCTGAGGTAGCTGGTTAGAGACCGACTCTGGAGGAGGAAAAGGAGACTTAGTGTGGTCAGTTCAGGACAGACACCCATTGTTTTGGACAGTTTGCGAGCCATTCGGTCTTTGTGGATATTTATTTCTATTTTAAGCATTTTATCTTCATTCTCCAAGTCTTTCGTTAAAATTTCTCCACAGTCGGGTTGCTGGTAAACATAAGAGAATTCTTCATATAGCAGATTGCCAAATTCCTGCATTTTTATCTTGACCTAGGACATGGCATATACTCCAAGGCCATCAAGCTGAAGAAATGAAGGTCCCGGTTTGTCAGATCCAGTATACTTAAAGAAGAGTTCAAATGTTTAGCTGCCGTCCTTTCCTTAGCTATCAGAGGAAGGAGTCATTCTAAAATCAGACATATGGAAGCACAGGTTCATAGACTCAGCCTCTGTAAGTTTTGTTGCTAGATTGAAGTTTTTAATCCTCAGTGAAGAATTGATTGTAATTAATTTTGAAAGACTGTCCAAATTTGTCTTGTGTCTTTTCATAGGAAAGGAATAATGCTGTCAGCATGTCTGCACACTCCATGCTCTGTGAACGGATTGCCATAGCCAAGGAACTGATCAAGAGGGCAGAATCACTTTCTAGATCAAGAAAAGGTGGCATTGAAGGTGGTGCAAAGCTGTGCAGCAAACTGAAGGCAGAATTAAAGTTCTTACAGAAAGTAGAAGCTGGGAAAGTAGCTATTAAAGAATCCCATTTACAGAGCACTAATCTAACACACCTGCGAGCCATTGTGGAATCAGCAGAAAACCTGGAAGAAGTTGTTAGTGTTCTTCATGTCTTTGCTTATACAGATACCTTGGGAGAGAAGCAGACCCTTGTGGTGGATGTGGTTGCAAATGGTGGTCATACTTGGGTGAAAGCCATTGGCCGAAAAGCTGAAGCTCTGCATAACATCTGGCTAGGCAGGGGTCAGTATGGTGATAAAAGCATCATTGAGCAGGCGGAAGACTTCCTCCAGGCGAGTCACCAGCAGCCAGTGCAGTATAGCAACCCTCACATCATCTTTGCATTTTACAACAGTGTCTCCAGCCCCATGGCAGAGAAGCTGAAAGAAATGGGCATATCTGTGAGAGGAGACATAGTAGCAGTCAACTCTCTGTTAGATCACCCTGAAGAGCTCCAGCTCAGTGAGAGTGAATCAGATGAAGAGGGCCCTCAACTTTTACAAGTGACCAGAGTAGACCGAGAAAATATACTGGCAAGTGTTGCGTTTCCAACAGAGATTAAGGTTGATGTATGCAGAAGAGTAAATCTGGACATTACTACTTTAATCACATATGTGTCTGCCCTTAGCTATGGAGGCTGCCACTTTATTTTCAAAGAAAAAGTACTCACAGAACAAGCAGAGCAAGAGAGGAAGGAGCAGGTTCTACCTCAGCTGGAGGCATTTATGAAGGACAAGGAGTTGTTTGCTTGTGAATCTGCTGTCAAAGATTTTCAGTCCATTCTAGATACCTTAGGAGGACCTGGGGAGAGAGAGAGGGCAGCTATGCTAATTAAGCAAATTAATGTGGTTCCAGACCAGCCTTCTGAGCGTGCCTTGAGACTAGTGGCCAGTTCAAAAATTAATAGCCGCTCATTAACGATCTTTGGGACAGGAGACACCCTGAAAGCCATCACAATGACTGCCAATAGTGGTTTTGTCAGAGCTGCAAACAATCAGGGTGTTAAATTTAGTGTGTTTATCCATCAGCCCAGAGCACTTACTGAGGGCAAAGAGGCCCTAGCCACCCCCTTACCAAAAGACAACACAACCGGCAATGAGCACTAATGACCCTTTAAATTTTGTCATGGGAATAAGTTATTTATACCAAAGCCTGGGGCTTCCCATCTATACTGGTGAAAAAGAAGGTCTATAGTAAAATCAATACTTAAACCAGTAGAGTTTGTTTTGTGTCTCATCTATATTTAAAGTATGTAACTGCCAAAAGTAGAAAAAGCACAGGAGACAACCTTATCAAACTATGTTAGAGCAATTAAGAACAGAAATACATTTATATAAGGCTTTCAGCTCTATTGTAATACTCTTGTTTGATTCTGTATAGCTGCAGTGCCCCTACTGATAATCAGATTTTGTGGAATAGGGCCATTACTGCATCTTGCATTAAATAATATTTGGAGAATACTCTGAAGGCTGTATTTCATTGTATTGGTTTATGTGATTTAGGCTGACAGGTAAAGGTTTATAACTAATTTTATATTCTCAGTGGCCATTTATGAAAAGAAATAATTGATATAGTCAGGAGCAGTTTGGTAGATATTTACAAAAAGTATATAATGCAGAAAAAATGAAATTGAATTCTGAAACTACTGATACACCTTTATGAAAAGAAACCAAACTTAGTATTTCAAGGTAAACCTAGAATGAATTGAAAATGAATTATATAAAACATTTAAAAAGAATTCTGATTATCTTGTAAGTACGGACAGTCTCCATACTGCAAGTTCTTGTCTTTAATGTTCTATTTGCAAGTGGCAATTGAAAACTATTACCTGTCAGTGTTGACAGGAGATTCCATGCCAGTTGCATGATGCAAATTATAATTAAAAATCTATTTCTATGGCCACATTGCACTAAGAACTATATTTTATCAGTTTTCAATAAAGCAAAACAAATCAGCTAAGTAGATTTGTATTCACATTTTTTAGTTTCAGATCAATGTGAGGGTACAAACCAAGAGGTTATATAATTATACAAAGGTAAAAATCAGAGTTGTAGTTGGGTCCTACACCCAGGGAGTGTGCTGTATTGTATTCACTTTTAAAACTTGAGAATTTGTCTTGGAGCTTAAGTATTAGCTTATGCCAAGTATAGAAGCCAGTTTAGAATTTGATTTTGTGTAGCCACAGCCTGATCTCTTTATACTGTGGCAGCTTTCCTATGTTGTGAAATGATGATCTCAATTTCTAGTCACAGGGTTTTCTGAGGCGGTAGGGTTTGCTTGCTAGGGTCCATGAACGCTAAAAAGAATGGAAAATTAGGTGTGGGGGTGCACTTCTTTGGGGAGAGATTCTGTTACTAAGTCAACACATTTCCCAGGGAAAAGGCTGTGATGGGGTTTCCAGTTAAGTATAGAGAGTTAAAGTCTGGGATTAGAAGTTGGGCTTTTTGAGTACCTTTTAAGGTGCCATAGTCCTTGGTGCTAGTAAGTATGACACATTACAGTTTGGTATGCAAAGAAATAATTGCTGTTTGCTGTAAGGAATTCTTAGTGTGAAGTGGAGGTAAGCAACCAAAGTGCAATTAATGTGCTAAAATCTGTAAATGAGGTTTAAAGTGCTGTGGGGAGAGTACTGGGAGTACTTGCTTTAAAGTCAGGAAGGCAGAGAAATATTCTTTGAAGGTCTGAGGTGTGATATTTTTTAGGGCATGTACATGAGAAAGGGTCCTCAAAAGTACAGGGGTGGGATTGAAAAAATACAGAAATGTGGATGTGAAGGCCTGTTCTGGGAATAGGCCCAAGTGGACTGTAAAAAGAAATGAAGCTAGAAAAGGAGTTGAAGTCCTCTAAAGAGTTTGGCATTAGAGAGCCATTGGTGGTTTTAAAGAAAGGTAGCTCATGATCCTCAGTCTCTTAGGACAACAACAAAAACTCACTCGCAGTGTGGAGGAAAAGTTGAAAGATGAGACGGTAATGGCCTTGGCTAGAGCAGGAATGAGGGACTGCAGAGTCATGGCTGTACGCCAGACGTGGCCAAGGCAGAATTGATACTAATGTCCTCATTTAATAAACATTTATTGAGTGCCTGCCATGTGCCAGACACAGTAGGAGGGGCTGGATATATAAAAGATGTGCTTTCAAGGAGTAGCAGAAAGGAGACTGTGTCCTTCCTCATTCTGAATTAGTCAATACCTAGAACCTGGAATCTTTGCCAGCTAGAAAGTGGACCAGCCACAGCACTCGGAGAAAATTACTTTCTTGAGTGGCTGTAGCTCTGCCCCACCAAAAACCATTATTTTTTTCCAGGCATTCTGTAATTATGATTCCTAACAATGAAACAAATAATGTAAGCAATAGATAGTGGGGCAGTGAATTCTGCAGTGTAAGAAATAGTACCCCTTCACTACACAGGGCACGCACACAAGCTCCACCCTACCCTAAAGGCTTGTTCCAGCTGACCAAAACTTTTAACTCCTATAAAGGGAAAAAACAGATTAAAAAATGAGGGAAGTAACAGAAATACCCAGTTAATTACTTTAAAAACTGTCAAAAGTCTGGGCGCCTGTGGCTCAAGTGGCTAAGGCGCCAGCCACATACACCTAAGGTGGCGGGTTCGAATCCAGCCCAGACCCACCAAACAACAATGACGGCTGCAACCAAAAAATAGCCGGGTGTTGTGGGCGCCTGTGATTCCAGCTACTTGAGAGGCTAGGGCAGGACACTCACTTGAGCCCAGGAGTTGGAGGTTGCTGTGAGCTGTGAAGCTGCGGCACTCTGCCCAGGGGGATAACTTGAGGCTCTGTCTCAAAAAAAAAACAAAAAAAAAAAACTGTCAAAAGAATCATATAAAGCAAAGCAAAGGTCAAAAAAGTCATGAGGAGTAAAGGTTAAAAAAAAAAACAAAATCCTCTCATTATGCCTTAGAAGTGGTTAGAGAAAGTAAAATCGTGTTAAAAATCATCTTCTTTAGAAAGGAATCAATAGATACTTTGCAGTCTTGCCATTGAAAAATAAAAGCTATCTAACTTTGTTCATCAAACAGGAAGTGTAACTGATAGTATAAATTAAGCAGAATAAATTGCAAATGAGAGGTGAAAATGGAGAATAAACTTAGTCCATGTAGATAAAAACAAGTCAAAAGGATTCTTGAAGAAGCATAAACACCAGAAAGCCCACCAAGGATGTAAACCAGTGTTAGAGAAGAGTCATTTTAGGGAAAGATACGCTATTTTGATAAATTTGGAAATGTCATTGAAACAGATGATTTTCTTAATGTGAATTAGAACTGAAATAGGAAACCCAAATGAGCGCTAATCCCTGAAGAAATTGTTAAAGTGATTATATAATTTCCTCCAAAAATGGCAAGGTACAGTTAACTTTATTAGCTAACTTTAGATATCAAATAATTCCCTTGCTCTAAAAAATAACAGAGAGTGTAACACAGTAAGTGGGGTTGAAATACTTAACATGGTAAGATTGGTGTTCTGTTTACTACCTCTCCCCTGCCCAAGACAGGGACTTCGCCTGCTCCCGTTTGAACACAATGCCTGGGTGGAGGTCCCTTCCTCCAGGTGGATATTTCTTAATTTGTGAATAGCAGGCTGGTTGTCTCAAGTCATTGCTGTATTGGAAATGTTTGCTAATTCACTTTACAGAATAAGAGCATGACTCTTGATAGGAAGCTGCAGCAAAATTTCAGTTTAAAAAGATTCGTGGCCCCGTGCCTGTGACTCAAGTGGCTCAGGCGCCAGCCACATACACCTAA